AGTTATACTTAATTATTAACAGCCACTGTACGTCACTAAATATTAATAACTTAAAATTGATTAATTTTGAGCTTTTTTGATAGCATTTTTAGATTCCTCAGGCCAAAATCTTTTTGAGCCAATTTTTAGGAGTAGGGAAGCTCCAGAATTAATTTTACAGACAAAAATAGATTATGAACAGTCAAAACTGGGGAAAAATAAAATTTGATTTAAATCAGTCAATTTTTAAAATTAGAAGCTCAAATTTTAGTGATTGTCTTACTTTAACATAATCAACACATGGACAAAATTTCAGAAAAATTGAAGAATTAACGGTGACATGCCCTGGATGATTTGACATGAAATGACCCAATATTATACAACATTTAACTCTATTCCTTAATTCCTATTCTATTTCATAGGAAATCAGTTCTCCGCACATTCCTTTATTATCTTTCATGACCATGCCTTTTTGAGAAAGACAGTGAACTGGATTCCCCATGGTTTGAAATTCAGAGTTTTCTTTTTCTTAAAAGCCCATTCTACCCTGCTATTTAACCCATAGCAAGAGTAAGAAGAGATGGATTCATACCTTTCCCAAAGAGAACACTGCAAACTAGGCTGGAGTTTGAAATTGGCTCATCTATTCCAGTTTCTATACCTTTAGCCACTAACCTTACTTGAAACAAAACATTGTTGTAATATCTAAATTGTCCTTCACATAAATGAATTCTTGTGTTGTAATTTCTGATAATTACAATCTCCTATCCATTCAAATTTATCATTTGCATTCATCTTCTTTTTTTTATTTTACATTTAAACTTTTTTCTCACCTCAAATTCATAGCCAGATAAACTAACCCCTTCAAGTGATCTAAATTTCACTTTATTAAAAGGTTGTACATGATCACAATAATAGCAAAGCTTATGATCAGTTTTTGGCCCCTGATAAATTAAAATAAAATAAAAATAAAGAGATAAGAACAGAAGAGATTTGATTATTTTGAGATTTAATGAGACTCTTTTGAAATAATTTGTAACAATTTAGAGTATTTGGACACCTTTAGTTGGAGTTGGGTTTTTTTTTTAACTTCAGTGAGGCTCTTGAAAGGGCCCACATTTAAATTTTGGTTCATATTTTTATATACATATCAGTTTTTGATTTAGCTTTTTTAGTTTGGTATAATTTTGTTTACTTTGTTCAAGTTTGGACTTCAATGAACACAGACATATAATAAGTGAAAAATTGTACATCAAAAAGTACCATCTAAAAATATATCTATTTTTATAGACACTGGCGTGGGGAGGGATATACATATGTGATAAAGGCATCTCCAAATTCTATTAGCTAATTTTATTAAGAGAATTGAAATCCTAAACGTTCTTTAACACATTGTTTGCCAAAAGTCAATTATGAAATCTGACTTCAAATGTCAACTTTATAATAGTCAACTTAGACAATAAAAAATTTTTTATTAGGTGATTTATAGCTCCAAGGGAAGTCTTAACATTGTTTACACATTAAAAGTATCACTACAAATAAACTAAATAAACTCGTTGTTGGTTTCCGCAGATCAAAATGTATCAGAAAATGCTATGCATTGTGGTTGGCAATTTTTATTATGATGCTTGTGGTTGACAGCCATTGTGTTAAGTAGATTTCCATAATTATTTTATTTTCTGTTAAAAAACACACACACATATGTGTGTGTATATATATATATATATATATATATATATATATGTATAGTGGGAAGTTGTAAAATAAAAATTAAAAACTATAAAATAAAATTTTACATTTTTTAATCACTCTATCTAAAAAAAATTTTTAAATCTTCAGTTCCTTAATTTTATTTTGTAGCTTTTATTTAATACCAAACTATTTTTAGGATATTTAAAATGTATTTTAAAATTTCCAACATTGAGTTATTTTAATATGTTTCTTCTCATAAGAGACTGATAGATGCTATATTTTATCTGAGAAAGTCTACTAATCATAGATTTATTCTAAAAATATTACTTCATTTTTTGGCAGATTATAAAATTAGACTGTTTACAAGAATTTTAGAAGGTTTATGGTTGAGATAGTTGAATAACACCATCAGTGCTATTATTTAATGGCTGAGTCCAGATCAAAAGCCAAGATTTTAATATTGATTTTGACAGTAGTAAGGCTTCTCCAATTTGAAGGTTGTTGCAACATGATTTTCCTATCCTTAAATTTATCCTCACTTTTTTTCTTTCCCCAGGCTAGGCTAGGTTTACTAAACAACTAAGAAACCTTAGCCTGCTTTGTAATTGAGAGAGTTGTGTTATACTCCGTCATGATTAGATCTCATTCTGATTCATTCTGCACACTGGCCCGATATGACTCACAAAGGCAGAAAACGAAATAACAAAAATCATTTTCTGTGTATTAGGCTCCATGTACCACATCTGGTCTACAAAGTAAACTCCAGCGGTGGTCAATCGTGAACAATCCCGGCAGTAAAGGAAACACCCCTTAGGACTACCAGACCTGTTTAAAAGCAGGCTCTGAGGACAACCAGAACACAGTTACAAACCGGCCACCATGCAAGTACTACTACCATCACCGTCTTCACTGCCACCACTCAACATGACCACACATTTTAACAACTATTGCCACTTCCTGGTTTGACCTACCATCTCAGCTATCCAGTTTCAACTCAACATCTCAACTTCAATTACTCCCAGCTACAAGCCTTCATGAATACCAACCCAAACTGTCACCTCGGCTTACCTTTTATTTACAAGGCATTTCCTTTGCAGTTGACACCAGCAACATCCGCTCCACAGAACAGGTCTACCTTGACTTGTTTACAAGGCATTCCCTTCACAGTTGACGCAGCAACTTCTGCTCCATAAAACAGCTCTAACTTGACTCATTTACAATATTTTCCCTTCACAGTTGATGCAGTGGTCTCCGTTCCACAAAACAGCTCTATCTTAACTTGTTTACAATTCATTCCCGTTACAGTCAACCCCAGCAACATCTGCTCTACAGAACAGGGGTACCAAGACCATGCTAATCTGACATCACCTCATTTCAATACAACAGGTCACCCAACCAACAAGATGACCTACAACCATGACCTCCATCAACCAAACATGCACCAACTGTATCCCATGACCTCAGCCATGCCATCACAAGAAATTGTTCACTCCTGACACTACACTTACACCAGATCGCCATTCCTGTACTCTTTACTAACAATAGATGTTGTTTCACTCTAATCCTCATTATTCCTTTCTCTCACTACCAGATGCTTAACAGTTGTATACTTTGCAGTGGTTGGTATTCAAGTCCTGGGGGTTTAATGCTGATTTTAAAGGCAAAAAAATGCCATATCCACTTGGAAAATTATCAAAGCAGTCTTCTTAACCTCAATTTTCTTCAATTCAGCTTTTTTCTGACTAATAGTTGTTGGCAGGGCCAGTGCAAGGGTCTCATGCCCCCCAACCAAATCTATGATACAGGACCCATCACTTCATTACATCTCATTTTTTTTATATGAATACTACCTTATAGTAGTATTCATATAAAATATAAATTTTATTGTAACCTAATTATATACAGTAATGGATCATATGCAATACAGGAGAACAATTCAACTAGAAAAATTGAAAATAAATACAATGTATCTAAATACAAATTAGAAATGTCATAATAGATCATTCCATCTTAAATAAATTAATGTTTTGCAGCAATTTTTAACATCAACTTATGATTTTTCTTCTTAAAAAGTTGAATAATTTAATGCATCCAACATCATGGGTAAAAATTATTGAATTTTATATAATGTTTTTCTGAGACTTAGCATAAGCAAAACAAATTCATTGATTTGGTAAAAAAAAAAAAAAAAAAAATGGTGTCAAAATTTGCAAAAATCTTTCAGCCTTTAATAGTTGTGCTTAGCAATTTGTAACATATAAATGTCGATAGAAAAAAGCAAATGTTGATAAGATAGCCAGGGTCACAAAGCACTGCCCAGGGCCCCCAAACAGGTTGTCTCATCTCTCGAGGGATGGGGGTAGGAATCTGTACACACAAACACTGGTTGTTAGGCCATGGAAAGTGGAACTGATGAGCCAAATTCAAATTCTAGCCAAGTCTGTTCTGTTTACTTTCATAATTGCTCTTGGGAAAGGCAAATCCAACTCTTTTTAATAATGCTATGAATTAAATAGTAGGGTAGACTGGGATCTCTAAAACTGGATGACAATTAGCTTCTGGAAGGAGAATTACTCTAAATACAAAAATGTAGAAAAAGCATCATGAAATTACTATTTCTCCCAAGAAGTTATGGCAATTTACAGACAATAAAAAAACAAAGAAATCTGTAAAAAAAAATCATGATAATGTACGTCATGGTATTTAAAAAACATGAGAAAAGAAAAGAAAAGAAAAAAAAGCTAAGAGAAATTTTATTTTTAATTAATTTAAAGCCTTGAAAATCAGTATGGGCTAACAATCGAATGCTAGCGACTTTAGAAAAAAAATGATTTTCCTTTTATTATCTATTTTGTATTATGTTTCCTTGTCTTTCAAATTAACTCTCTCTTGTCATCATCTTCAGCTAATGTTCAACTCCGGCAGCAGACAAAACCGATCGAAATGATGAAGAGTCAGCTGTCTGCGCTTAGCATCGCCTTGAACAAATGAGACATTAGGTACCCGTTCCAATGCTGCTTGCTTGATTCGGATTATTCAGCGAAAAGAGAAAAAAGTGGCGAAAGTAAGAGACCACAAAAAGAAAAAAAAAACTCATGACTGAAGGAAAGAGTTTACAAAGACTATTTTAGTGTTTATTGTCACCCCCACCACGGTCAGGGTCCGTAAAGTGAGACACGAGTTGAGGGTAGGATTACAACAAGTGCTTCTCATCATCTTTGATTACCATCAGCAGGAGCCAGTAATAATAGTTTTAGTTTTTATTAAGTGTTTTCTCTTCTATTTCCTCTTCCCATTTTGTTTATTTTATTTAAAAATATATGACTATTATGTCTCGGCCGTCAAGTCGGCCAGGAAGCACCCCGTCAAGTCGACGGGCGAGTATCAGTCCTTGCAAGGTCACAGCTGCAAGTATGAAAGACCGATTCACTTTGTATTTCTATCCAACATCTTATTATTCACAGAAGGTAAACTTTGTTTTCGGCATTTTTTTTCATCTCTCTCTCTAATCATTGTTCTAAATTTGCAAAAAAATCCGAAAATTAAGTAAAAAAAAAAACAAACCCAAAACGACTAATCGTTTTTTCAGAAACTATTTGGTGTCACCTCTTATGGTTGGAATCTAAAAATCCTGCATGTTTTTTTACACTTTCTTTTGAAATTATCCGATTTCTTTTCAGTCTTTTATTTTATTTGGTATTTCATTGAAATTATGACCTAAACAATTTAATTTTAAAAATATCAATATATTTTGTTTTTTCTTTTAAACTATCCTGCTCATCAACAGAAGACCAGTTCAATTTTTCTTTTACAAAAAAAATAAAATAAATAAATAAAAATAAAATAAAATAATAATAAATAAAATAAAATAATATTTTAACCTTTTTAAAATTAAATTATTTTAAAAACTGACTCGTTTTCTTTCGAGTATATTTTAAATTATTGAAATATTCACTTTTACGTTGGTTTTTTTTTAAATAAACTAAAAATGCTGATTATGATTAAACATTTTCATTTAGTTGGCGATGAGGAAGACAAACTAAGATGTAAAAATAAAAAGTATGCATAAATTAAAATATTAAAACTATTTTGAAAATAATTCTTCTTAAACTCACTTATTTTTTTAACAGATTTTAAAAAATTACCTCGCAATTAGCCGTTAAAACTTTTTTTTTTATGCTAAAAAAAACTAAAAAAAAAAAAAAACTCACCATGACAGTCTTCTTTTTTTTCTAATGAAGAAAAAATCGGTTTAATTTTCTTCACTCTTATTTTTCTGACCCCTCAAATCAAATTCTAAATTTCATAAACTTTCATGCCATGTAACAAAAAAAAATAAAACAATTGTTAGGGTTTTTGTACCAAAAATATAGAATCACTGGTTTAGTTTAAACATTTGTTGGTCTCATCAAAAAAATATTTTAAATTGATTTTTTTACGAATTTTGTTTGGGCTTTTAAATTAATAAATTACATTATGGCACACAAATATCTAACACTTTTATTGGGTATTGTTAAGTTTAGCGTTACAAACAATTTCTGCATACCAAATACTGATTTACCTCCCTTACATTGTTTTTAACTAGCCTCATATTTTGAGCCGTCAGAGGGTAATTCGTTGCTTGTTCTGCAGAAATTGTACAAAGCTGTTAAATAAAGTGTTAAAGTTAAGAGAACTGGAACAAAAACGAAAAACAGCTTATAACTTCGAAGCCCAAGTCGTAGTAGACAAGAAGATTTAGTCTTTCTTCTATGAAGGAATGTATGTAAAGAAATGAAAAGGAAAATGTTTCCAAACCAAAACTCAAAATATACATTTTTTTCTTCTTCTCTGAAGTCGATCTCTTCTCTTCTTGTGTAGTAAATTAAAATATCTTCGCATTTTCTTCACAGAAATTAAATTTCAGTTTTTTTATACATGGAAAAAATATTTTTAATTAATAAATTATATTTTGTTTCGAACTTTATTTTTTTTTATTTTTGTAGGTTTTATTTCGATATATGACTTTTTGAAAATCCAAAAGAGGGCTCAGATTTAAATTTTAAGGGAAACAGTAAAAAATAAATCACTTTTTTAGTGTTTGGGTTTAGTAAGCAAAAAAAATCGTTTCAAATGCTAAATTTAACAATGACCACTCTTATCACAAACATTTATTAATTATCGATAAAAAGAATTTCATACAATCGTGACCTCTTGCATCAATTTTCTTCAATTGACAACATTGTCATGAGACCAAAATTTTTTTCACTTGCTATACAAATAGTAAAAAAAAAAAAAATTAAATTACTAAATTTATTATTAGTTTCAAGGGATTAAAGTTTTTATTTCATACAAACAAAATTCTAGTATTTAACAATCTAACTATCCTTAATTTTTTAACATGCAAGATGTTGTCTGAGTGTACTACTAAAAAGTTACTTTAATTAATGTAATGAAGTTGAAGTAATTTTCTATTTTCTATTATTCATCTTAGTAATTAAACAGCATCACTCCCTTTTTTAAGGTCTGTCATTGAAATCTTTGGTGTGATGTTGATATTTTTAATATTTCCTTTTGAAATATAAATATTGCAATGCATAAGCTAAGCAAGTTTTTAGTTTTTATGCATCTACTCAAACTCAACAAAACAGTTGAGTAGTTGAAGCAAAATTACTTGATTTTTTTTTAAATAAAAATAAAAACGACTCAGAAGTAAAAAAAAAACAAAAAATCACTTTCAAATTTTAACTTATCTACAGATCTTCAAAAATCAGATGAATATGTGACACGTCAGGTTTTTGCTAAACCAAGAAATTATGGCATTTTTCAAGGAATTAATACACAAGTTAACAAGGTCTAAAAATACAAAAAAACTCAACTCATCTCACCAATACAATTTTTATTTTAAGTTACTTGTGACATGTCCCCTAAGTAGAAAAAAAACTGTTTAGTTACTGATAACTAGGAAATCGGTAACTTAAAATTCCTTTTTGTTGTTTGATTACCATAATCTTTCTTTTAGGTTTGATTTGTGTGTGTGTGTGTGTGTGTGTGTATTTACAGACCAGTCATGACATGTGCATCTGTCCAAAATATGTTTCACTATTGTCCTAATGAAATAATGACATTTTTGCCCCATTAATCCAACCCCCACCCCTTCAGGACATAAATTATCATGTCTGTCTGTTTCCCCACCTCCAATTACTGTTTGTTTATTATCTGTGAACTGCAATGACTTCTTTAGAAAGATAGTGGAGTGGTTTCCTGTTGCTTTCTCTATAGTTTTGTATTCAGAGTACTCCTCCCCCTAAACTATCTAAGGCTAGAAAGCCAAGTCTACCCTGCTATTTAGCTCATAGCTACCAGAATTAGAAATGGATTCATCCCTTCCCCAAAGGCATTTAGTGTAAAATGAACACAATAGACTAGGAAGGGATTTGGACTAATTTCGGATTCTTTTTTTCCATAGTGTACCTGTGACACTATCTGCACATCCCCAAACAAATTTACCAACCATTCAGTTATGCGCCATGCATGATACACGTTTTTAGGCGATCATGTATCTGCGGTAGATTAGTTGCCATCAATTTGTGGTGTGATGGTTAACAAGCTTGTCTCATGAATCCATTTCCTAGTGTAATCGTTTTCATTTTTACTGGATACTCATGACTGCGATCTTGTACCAGAAAGCTAAGCTTACTTAAAACTTTACAGTTTCTGCTGAATTGTCATTTTTTTTATTTATCAAATTATAATTATATACTTTCCATTTGAAATTATTTTTTTTAAATTTTAATAGTAGATGTGAACTGATATCACCTGCCTGAACTATATTTATATTTTCCAGTCTTTCTAGAAATTTTATGCCTATACCATTTTTTGTTGTCTTTGTTTTTTTGTAACCAAAAGAAAATGGTCCTTTACAGACCTTAAAGAAATAAATTCTTAAAACTGCAATTCTAAATAATAAAAAAATAACTTAATTTGGTGTTGATAGATTAATTCTCATGCTGCTTAACTTGTGAACTCTTAGTCAATTATTATCTGTTAAATAAGAATAAAACTCTCGTTGTCTTCTCAGCAAGTAAGTCTGGTGTAATGGCTAGTAAGCTAGTCTCATAGATCAGTTACTACTGAGTAGTGAGTTCAGTTCTCACTAGATACCCAATACATGTGGCCTCTTGCTAAATCTAATCTTTGCTCAAAATAAAATATTGTCAGTCTTTGTTAGAAGTTATAATTTCTCAGAATAGCTTGACTTATTTTTTAGTAAAAATACAGACCAATAAGTTGTCTCATATTTGGTCATTGGATCAAATTCTTTGCAAATTTGCAGTTTATGTGTAGTTGTGTACATGATAATTTTTTATTTTATTTTCCTAATGTACTAAATGTGTATAAAGCTAACATTCTTACATAAAAAAAAAAACAGCAGAGTATGTAAGGCCAAATTCAAATGAAGCAGTTTTTTTCTTTACATTAAATGTGAATTTTATTTCTTTTTTACGGAAGGCATAAGGCAGTAAAATTTAAACAAAAGAAAGTCATTTGGGTCATATGCTACGGCATGATTTTGACATGTGACCTACATTGAGAACAGTAATTGGGTTGGCAAAAGATAACCTTAGTTACTTATAAGTCTGCTCCTATCATTGTTTATTTATGGTTTCAGTTAACATGGGAAAAAAAAGTAGCCAGATTTCTTAGGAATAATTTTATACCTGCCTTTCAACTTATAACATTTAGAGATCACTGTAGTTTAATGATGATAGCTTTTTTCTGTTTACTAAGCTTAATCTCTAGCACAAGTGTAATGTGGCCAATAAAGACTGACTTCACTACAGTAGTAAGGATCTGTGAAACCAGCTTGCTAGCCATTATAGTTCTTTGAAGTTTTCTTAATGAGGATTGTTAGAAAAAAAAAAAAAAAAAACATTTTTATTTTATTGTTAATAAATTCAGTTTTGGTATCTACATAATTTGGTAAGAACTGCACTGTTTATTGACAAGTAACAATGAAAATATTTGTAGGAGTTCTATTAGTGGTCAATATATCATTGTTCACCACCAAATTGTATGTGTATATAAGTCATCCAGGTGTGTCTTCAGAAATATATAGTATTCCTTTTACGGCATTATGTAATACTTTTGAAAATTCAGTTCAGAATCTTTTGTCTATATTTGCTAAAAAAACAAATTATTTAAAATATAGCAAATTAGAAAAATGTGTAGATAAGAATAAAATTTAATTTTTTTCAATTCATTTACTTATTTTTCTTTAGAAATACACTAGAATTTTTAATAGACAAGGTGGGTGGAATAAAAGAGGTGGCCGAAATTTTGTTTTATAATTGTCAGTAAAGAAATGCTTTGCTCAAGAATGATCACAGCTTAAATTAAGGGATTTCTTGATGCACCAGATGGATTTTTCTCCCTCCTCAATAATAATCATCCTCTGCACTTCTATTTGAAACTCAAAAATAATTAAAATATATCTGTTTTCTTTCTTTATATTAGCTAAGGTTTGCTAATTAAAAAAAAGAAAAAAAAAAATGAAAATTCATTTATTATAGGTATCTCTTACCAATCTTAATTCTAGGCCGATACTAAATATATTATTATTCTGCTTGTTCCTCACTGAGTTAGCAGGTGCTTTATTTCCTGTTACTACTTCAGATAAATAATGGACCATTCCATTTTGATTGAGAGAAAAGAAAAGGATATATCAAAGATGCTCAGATTTAGTGAACAAAAGAAAGGGAAGATAGAGGAAGTGATAATGATGTCAGGTGCTTCATGTCTGCTTTAGTGAAATGGAAATAAGGGAGAAAAAAGAGGAGGGAAATAGAAAGAAACAGATAGGAGAGGAAAGAAATAAACTGTAACAGTACAATGGACATACATTATTTTCATTATTGATAATATTCTCTAATGCATTTTCAGTATTATTCAAGTTTCACTGGTAATTATTCTTCATTAAATAAAATAAACTGAAGGTGGTAGTCAAGATACAAAGAGAGAATGACAGCAATTGGATACAAAATAAAAACAATCGTTTCTCATATTTTGTTAAGTTGTTAAGCTAAAATATTTAATGATACAATGGTGGAATTTCCAAGACAATTTTTATTTTATAATTGTAGAAATTGGAAGGAATGTATTCAATCATTAAACTAAAAATTATGACTCATCAGAAAGTTTAAAATAGGAAATCCATGAAGTTTTCATGTATACTGCTAATATCACTAATGATAACTATGAAAATATTGTCATCAGTAAGCACCAATTATAGTAGTAATATGATAATACCAATAAAAGTACGATACTGCATGATTTGTAAGTTGGGTTTACAATTTTCAGTTGTGATGTCTTTTTAATATTTTTTCCCCAGAACCAAGATGGAATTTGGAGGAAATTAATTTAAAATTTATAATCATTTATTTTTTCTGGCACACTAAGCACAAAAATGAGTGTATCAGGTTTTAGCTGAGGAGAGTGAATAATAGTGAAAGTCAAGCCTTTTTCTAATTTCTAACACATGTACCTCATTAAATCTTGGGTCAAAATAGTAGGTTGGAGATATGAACTCTTTCCAGTCTAATTGAAAGAGAACCATTTCTGTTTATTAAGTTTAAAAATAGTCTGATCTCATCTACATAAGTATCAACCAGAAGTCCCATTAAACTGATATCCTGCCAGGAATCTTTCATTTGTCAACTTATTTGAAACATAATTATTGTTCTGATAGAAAATACATTAAAAACTTTGAAATCATTTAAAGATGAAAAATGTCAGGTATTCATTGAAAACAATACCACATACACTCATATATATGTCAACATCATTTATAGGTTAGCTCTTGATTTTCAACCAAGAAATCATTATTATATAACTTTTAAAAAGGAATATAACAATCAATTAGAGCAAAAAAATACTACATATTTGGCTGTTTTGGGTTTGCTATGATCAAGCCAGTGTTTATATTGGCAAGTGTGAACACTCAACAATTGGTGTTACATTCTGAATGTAAAAACAAATGTAAATAATAACTTGAGACTGAAGTGGATTATAACAAATAAAATACAAAAGATTTTCTGTAGATCTGTGGCTACTGATACAACATATAAAAGTTTTGCAATAATATACTAGGTTCTTTTGGCAATGTTTAACTATCATGTTCTCAAAAGGATGGTTATTCCCTTGACACTGCTATTATTGTATACACCCTTCACTTTCTTGGCAATGATTATTATTTAAAAAAGTGATGATGATTAGAAATTTAATAAAATCCAAACATATGAAAGCGGATGTTTTTTTTTTTTTTTAATCAATTCACCCCAAAGCAGGATGATAATGCTGGCAAATTTGGATAATTTAAATTAACTCAGCATTAAAATTTTTCAAGTTGTAAAAAAATATACAATTTTTACATCATTCAAAAGAAAAATAAATTATGCATAAAGCATACACAAAACTAATTTATACTGTTTTATTAGAAACATTCTGAAATGAATAAAACTTTAACCATCAGTCTTAAACTTATTTTTGCCAGTGTGTGTATGTATGTATATATATATATATAAGGTACTTTAACTCCAGTCAAGCATAGCATTCATCTTAGAAATCAGTCATAAAATTTGAGACAATTTGTTTCTATGTCCTAGTAATTCACTAGTTGAATTACAGCTGATTATGACAAAACAATTCCTTAGTACTGTGATGGTGAGCTAGTAGGACTATTGGTCAAGTTATACTAAACTGACATTCACACTCCCTAAACTGGCCTATGCTGACAGAATAGCTGTGGCTGCACCTTCTACGCCTCTCTAGTGCCTCTTTATAGTGTTGGATGCCAGTTGTAATTTATTCACCACACCTCAGTGGCACAAAGTTATATAGTCATCCAGAAATTGTCACAGGCATCAGTAATGTCTTCCATCCTATCTTTTTTAGTGCAATGGAGAGATACTGTCCAGGTGACAGACCTTCAGTTAATTTTTGATTTTCAGAAGAAAACTTTGGTTTTGGTGTTGAATATAGGTTGCTAGCTTGTATAGAAAGTTTGTTTTATTGACACACCTTTTAATTCAGATTGCTGAAGGTGAGCATTGGTAACCGGAATTTTTATGTTCTACTTTGGCACTGAACAAGTAAAGGTGACAAAAGAAGTGACAATCTGTTCAGATTGTTTTATTGATTTTTTTTTTTTTTTTTTAATGGTTTATCAATTCTTCCTGTGTTATTTAAAGACAAAACATATTTTAAGATTATAGAAGGTTGCTTACAGCAGCTACTGTCCTCCATCTAAGTACTGACTGGGCTCAAGACTGTTTAAATGTGATGATCGAATGAGAACCATTTTGATTTGACTGTAAGCTAAATTATTTTATCAATGAGAATAGTGAATAGACATTTTGATAAATATGAACAATAGATAAAACATGACCGGTACATAATCTTTTCAATATTTGGTTTAAAATTAAGCAATCCATAAATTTGTGCATTTCTGATCAAACAAGTTATTTTTGTGTATATATGGAATAAAACTTAAAATTATACAATGAGAGGTGATTGCTATATCTTAATATAACAATAGTCATTTTGATGCCAAACAACTGAAACCTCAAAAAGTACACCAATAATGACAAAACTGATCTTAAACCATTTGTAACAGTCATCAGTAGTATTCCTAGAATTTGTTATGGATATTTACTAAGCTTAAATAAGTATACCATAAGTGGACCACTCAGTGAGGATCAAACTAACTAAAAAGCTGGTTAACCATTACCCCACAACAAAGCACCCAGCTGACTGATTATAACCCAAAATGTGTTTATCCTATGCTATTTTTGCACTCTTGATATTAATCATTGTTAAACTGATAAATGATTTAAAACATGAGAAACAAACATTAGAAAACAATGTCAGATTGTAACTCATAACAAACAACTAATACTATGAAATGAGCCATTAAAAGAATTCCCCAATGACTATGTTGCTTGTAAACGCTTTGATCTACTCTGAATATGTTGACATACATTTCTTTCTTTACAAGTGATTCTTTCATACAAAAACATTAACAACTGACTCTTGATGTTAACATACATATTATAATCCATTAACTGAATGGGTCCAACTTGATTATTTTAATATGTAACTAAATCTTTGTTTTCTTTTATAGGTTGTTCTTGCTCTTTATGAGAAGGATATTCCATTCAAAAGATGTATAGTGAGTTTGTTCTCCGGACAGCAGAATGAACCTTGGTATTTAGAAATCAACCCCAAAGGCAAAGTGCCAGCTTTGAAAGATGGTGAGAAAGTGCTTGTTGAATCAGACAATATAATAGACTATTTAGAATCCACAGTACAATCAGGTAAGTCATACCAAAAAGTACTTATCAAGTCAAAATAAAGCACTTTCTGATTATATTGATTTGTTTTTTTTTTCTATCACATTTTATAACTACTTTTTTCATCAATTAACTGTGGTTATCAAATGCAAAATTTAGGTCAGTATTTCGTGTCATGTAACATGCACATTTTATTTAAATAAATACCAGCACATAAAAAGCAATTACGCATTATACATGAAGAGTCAATTTTTGAAAGTCACTCAAAGCAAACAGGCATTGGGTTATCATGGCAATGGAAGTTTTAGAGTCTGGAGATGAGTCACAAATTTTCAGAAGATAGCTGATTTATTTTTTTTTACAGCTTATCAACCTTTTGCAGGTTATTTAAAGTCAGAAAATAATTTTAGATTGTAATAATTTTTTTGAGATAATGATTTACTGATACAAGTCCAATTAACTCATAGCTGGTGGGGAAGCGGTGGATTCATAGCTTTCTAAAAATTATTTGTATGTAAGTGAATATAACAAACCTGACTGGAACTCGGATACCTGATTTACAATTCCAAATCATTATCCATTATATCATCCACACATCCAAGCTTACTGCACCTGGTATTCCAGAGCAGTCACCCATCTAGGTACTGAATAGGTTCAACTTTGCTTAACTTAGGTGATTATAGTGAACCAATGTTTCTGCATGATATGGCCATAAGCCTTCAGAAGTTAAAGATTTATTTCTTCCCCACTTATGTTATTTTTTGATTGTGATTTAAATTTTTATCTTTTTTGTCCATTAAAATGTTTTAAGTATTTTGCTTTTATTTAATTTTCATGAATTTAGCTTAAAGATTTAGTGTAAGGCCACAAAAGTTAATTACAAGAAAATTTATATTGTTCATAAAATTTTAAAATATATATTTCTTCACATGGTTTGATACTGTTAGCTTAAAATAGTTTTTACTTACCTTTTATCTCTTTTTTTTATAGTAAATTTTAGTCAATATAAAACATGAGATTAGAATTAAAGATAATTTTCAACACAATATTTTCAGATAATTTACATTGTCTTTTTTCTTTTCATGTACTGACCCTCACTGTCTAAAATTTGATGCAGAATTTCTTTTGGTTAAAATAAAAAAAATGAACCAGAAAATAATAAAAATTCAAATTAACCTACAAATAAATAAGAGATAATGAAGGTATCATGGCATACATTCTTGGAATTACTCAGAATGATACATCTCACCTATAATCACATTGTCTTCACTGTTTTTATAGAATCAATTGTTTGGTGTAAAAATATCAGCCTCTCAACATCAGGTTAGAAAACTAATAAATCTTAGATTCCCATATTCAATTATTTTCAGTTTATTATTTTACTTGGAAGAAACTAGGCAACTGCACTTGAAGCCTTGCTCTACTAAATATGCTGTTGGGAAAGTAATAATCTTGACAGGTTTTTATCTTTGACCTCATATAAGATTGTAACTTAGATTTGGTAAAATAAAACAGTGGTCCTTTGATTATGATAGCCCTCTGACTGCAAACTTTTCTTTATTGCTCCCTAAGATCATTTTATTACCCCCCCATAGGATAGCAGTACCATTCACTTTAGGTCTCATAATAGAACCAGCTTTTTGTAGCCAAACATTTCACTATGAATGGAATAGATATACTCCAGGGTAGGGAAGTAAAATTTAAACTGAAATGTCCCATCAACCACTACATCAAGTGATGTGAAAGCAAATACAGAACAAAGATTATACCGTCACTGATTAATATAGACTATTTTGGGGGCAATATCATAGAAAGATGCTTCACAGAAGGATAAATGGCAAAGAATATCAGACTTCATGCACAAATTGATCCTAACTGTAGCCTTAACACAGTTTGCATGTTTCTGTGCATGGTCTACAATGTCAAAACGATTGTAGACATTGGGCAAGTTAAGCTAGACTAACACTCTTAAAGCCAAAACTTGCAAAGGATATATGTAATGATAACTGCTGAGCTAAAAAGTGAACTCCAAGACTGAATGGTCGTGTATAATGACCAGGACCTTAAATCATATATCAAAATGCCATAGAATTCATGAAAGTCAGGAGGCTAGAAAGGTGAAAAAACTATTCAGGTACCTCGAGTTGTGGATCCATTGTTTCATTTTATAATGAGAAAAATCTTCATAGTGGACACCATTTGGTATTGCTAAAACAACTTGTGGATTCAGCAGTTGGTGTCAGGGGCACCTTCAGGACTTAATGTCTTACTCAACTCAATGTTTTGGGTATTATAGCCCCTCATAGGAAAAATATGTCCCCATTCTTCTACAAGCTCAAAGAAAAGTGAGTGCTGATGCCGTCTACATAGTTCCACATTACCATGTTGCTTTTTGGGTAGTTGGCCAGATAGAAAATATATACTGACTCAAGATGGTGTTCCCAACTACACAGCCAACCTGCTGCAGAAGTTTTGCAAAGCTAACTTTGCTAATTTCTGACCCTTCAGCCTAAACTTGAACAAGCTAGAAAACATCATGTTGGGTGTTTTGAAGCAGGCCATCAACAAAACCTCTTAACATCAATATTCTCAAGGCTGCTATCAAGGAAGAATGGGCAGAGATGTTGAAGGATTTTAGTGGTTACAAAAGTTGTGCAGCATTGAGGTCTTGATTGAGGCTGTAATTGAAAATAATAGATGTCACACTAAGTAAATTGATGTGATATTACACTGACTTCCATGCATTCTATTTTGCAAAATTACCTAATGGGAATAAACAAAACAAAAAAAAACAATCTTTTCACGTACTTTACTAGAATATAAAAATAATAAATGCAAAAATGCTATTTAAGTCAATGTTTTGAAAGTATTTAAATTTTCCTTGTTAATCTAGTTTCATTCCAAATTTTAAAATCATTTTCCAAAATATTTCCCCCTAATTTTTTTTTTTTTTTTTAATGTTTTGTTTTTTCTCACCTACTCCAGCTGTAACACTTGTCCCTGATGAATCCTTTGAAGTTGGACAAGAAGTGCGGCGTGTAAGAAAACTGTTGGATAGTATCAAGGCTGAAGTAATCACTTTTGGAATCATAATGCATCCAGATCTTTCAGTGACTGGATGCAAAATTCCATTCAGAATGCAAAAACAGATACGAGGTAAGTATGTGTTTTGTCAATACAAAACAACCTGTTAATGTTAGTATGGAATATGGAAAATTATAACATTATTATTGGAAAAACTATTGTTTTTGTTCAGAAATCTTTTTAGGCCAAATACATTCAGATAATCAAACTATCTTAATGCATAAAAGTTTTTTCTTTCTTATCAATAATTTTACAGACATGATTCAAAAATGTTTATTTTAGTTCTATGAATAAATTAAGAACTGTATTTTCTTAACATAATGCAACAATTTCCCCAATAAATTTTGTCTAAAAGGTTTTTCTTAACATCCTTATACTACAAAGGTTTGTGGTAGTCCAATGGGTTGAGCTGACTGGTGCATGTATATACAACTATTCATTTGAATATTTTTTACTGGAATAATTTTAAATTTAGATATTTTACAAGCTTAACTTTGTGTAGCAAACCCCAACCCCAATCAAAATCACTAAATTATTAAATAGGTGATGAGATTAGATTGATATCTATCACTATTCTAGGTATTATTCTCAATAAAAACTGTTGCCAAAACTTTGTTGAGTGTCAGATGTTATAAATAAATATAAATTAATAAAAAAACAAAAATTGAATATTTTTTAAATTTATCTTTATTAAATATCCCTTGCCAAATCATAAATATATATTATAAATCGGTGTATATTATGTGAGGGGAAAATATAGTTTGTGAAATAACTGAATAAGTGCAGTATATAAAGACATTAAACTAGATTAGTACTCATAGGTTATAATCAGAAACAGCTTTATAAATTATTCATAAGCAAATAAATATACAGCCTTGCATTACAAGAGTTTCCATAGTTGATGCAACTAGTGTTAAAATTTTCTATTTTATTGAGAAGTGAACTTTTCTAGGAAAAAGTGCAGAATAATGAACCTTTACATGTGCATATTTTGAATACCTATTTATTTATGAAAAGGAAGTTTTGCCAGAAAAATTTATGGACATTTAAAGCCAGTCTTAACTAGATTTTAATTTTTGGGAAATTTTAAAATGTAATTTGAACACTTAATAGTTACATATTTGAAACTAACTAGTCAGAGAATTCAAATTGATTGAAAAATTTTATTTTAAGCAGCATAAAATTGATGCCCTGAAACAGAAAATATAGCTAGAATATTGTTTTGCTTGAAGTGTTTAATTTTTTAATAGAATATTCTGTAGGTTTTGGGTTGTGAATAAAAATCATAGATAAATTTTAAAAAAATATTATGTATCGTGGGTTTCCCCAGAGACTTTTTTTTCACATGCCCCAAATTATTTTGAAATCAAAAGATGCTTGAAAAATGGACAAATGAATTCCACTAGAACAGCTTTCACCTGGGGCAAAACCAATTGTGTTTAGATGGAACACATATGAGCCGATGTCAGATCAACTGACATGGCAAGAGTAAGGGGGCTGCAGCTTGTCCATTGGACTATGCCATCCTAACAATTTGTTTTAATTTATTTAATTACTAAATGTTTTTTTAATATTCTAAATTATCTATTCTTCTGGTCAATCCTGAATTGTTGTTCTTCAGTTATTATGTTCTAATAATTGAGAAATATAATATTTGACAAAGAAATTTCAAGATGATTTTTCAATGAAATGCACACATTTTAATCTTTTATTTTTTATGCATTCAAAGGGGGATTATTCTGCATTTTTACCCTTTTCTACAAGTTAAAGGTTTTAAGTTTTAGGGCTAGTGCTACATTTTTAAATCTGATCCCAACTAATCCCATTGAACACCTATGCCTTCATTTAGAAATTCTTCTCCAAAATGGCAACATAGATGAGAAACAGTAGGAAAACAATTGTAAGAATTCAATGAGGATTTTTATTACACCTTTAATATGTAATCTTTTTGTACAACTTGATTATACAGATTGTTTTCACCAGAACTTTTCTGGTCTATACCAAGAAATATTATTCAAGAACTTTTTTTCAGTGTTAATTCACGTTTCTCTACTGTGTATTTTAGTTGATAATTGAAAATGGTCATCCACACTATGAAGTTGTCAGAGGTTTTCTTTCATTTTGTTTTTCTTTTATATTGTCCAAAACTACATGGTAATTAAATGCATCTGTTGGAGTTATTTGGAGGCCATTCGTACATCCCCCCCTCACACACACACACACACACTGAAGTGCAGATTTTTCTCTTATTGAAATTTATTGTTAGGGAAATACTGCAGATTTTGTCATGTCTGAAGAAAATGAAAATAGCAATTTATCGGATAGTGAAACAAGTTTTTTTTTGTTTTGTTAATCAAAGTTATGATGATTCGTCATAACATGAAGTTTACTCCATTCTTAGGGTTTAGAAAATGTGCAAAATCAGTTATATACTAATTATGGTCCTGCTTTTCCACTTTCCTTTTTGGGATACTCCAGGTATGAAAACCATTATTAGTGGTGAAATGACACCTTTAGATATATTTATTTCAATCTTTGAGTGAAGAAATGTTAGATCATATTTGTTAAGAAACCAATAAATTATCCACTCAACCTGGTGTTATGAATTGAAAAACACAACTTCTTTTTTTGTTTTTGCATTGAAAATTCATCAAGGAATTATGAATTAAATATTTGAGGTAATCTCCAGAGTACTATTATCTGCATCATAATTTTTCATGAAAAGATAAAAAAAAATATTTATATATCTTTTCTGCATTAAGCACATTGCATATTTGAAATATTAAAAGTAAAAAAAAAAACATTTTGTTCTAAATTGAAACAATTCTGAAAAAAAAATAAACCCCTTATAAAACAACTCTCTATTGTTGCTAACATTTGCATTAATCCCTAACCACTGACAATTCCTTTTTTTACCTAATTTTTCAATATTTAGCATACAGACAAAGCACCAAAATTTTCTCAAATTTTAATTAGATGATTGGAAAATTTTAGATTTAATCATTATTTTTTTCAGAAATATTTTGTTAGTGCAGAAAAGAATTAAAGCTAAGCAAAAGATTGATGGGGTAGTGGTAAAGTCAGTGGGCAACAATAATATAAACTGAAACCTTACTTGCATATACTGAGGTCAGATGTAGTCAATATTAAAATACAACTGATTGTTTCTTTCACTACCAGAAATTGTATTCATTAGAATGAATGAAAGTTTTAATGTATCTATTAAATCCTACTATTCATAAAATAATGGCCTTATTCTGATAATATTCTTTCAAAGATTTTTGAATTACTGTTTTTGTTATTTGTGTATAGATTGTATTTCTTTGTTATTCTTCAGAAAATTATGGCAGTCAACTTGGAATGTTGTTAAAATTAGCAGAAAAAAATCCCAAATTCCGTGACATCTACCTAGCAAAAAGTCAGCACATGGCACAACGCTTTGAAGCTATTATGGATGTAGAACAAGTTATGCAAGAATTAGATGATCTGGAAAATGTCTTGGATGAAATGGAAACACTTATTATGTCTTCTCTCTCATCTCAAGAAGGTAGGTATTTTTTTTTTATCTGTTGACTTTTAAATTCGTTGGGTGATGGGGTTTAAAAAATTGGTATCGTTTCCATTTTATTTCTAAAGAGTTTCACTTACCAACTTGTTCTTATTTAATCTTGTTTTGAATAATAATGTTTTCAGATTAAATTTCTTTTAGACATAATATTGTAGCTATAGATGTGTGATTAGCCTGATGGTTATCAGAATATATAATGGAATTGATGAACAGAGTTCAAATACTAACCAAGTCAATTCAGTTACATTCAATTTGCACTAATGCCATTGGCAAAAGAAATGAACCCACCTCTTCTCTCCCCAGTTATGGGTCAAATAACAGGGTAGACGGGGTTCTTGAACTTTGGTTGGCAGCTAGTTTAGAAGGCCAACTAATATAAAACTATGGAGAAGGCAACAGAAAAATACTCCACTATCTTTCCCAAGAAGTTACAGTAATTTCCAGATATAGCTGTGCAGCACCATGACTGCCTACATCCTGGAGTAGTATGGCATTTAAAAAAATAAATTGTATTCATTATATAGTACTTCATTTGGAATAATTTCCTCTTTTTATTTTTATTCTATTTTATCACAACTTTTCAGTGGTTACCCGACAACCTTTCTAAAGATGTGTATCATATTTCCTGATTCCCAGCAAGAATTCTCTTTGTTCTTAGGCCAGGAAAATTAATTACTTCCAATTTTTGGAAGATTAATCACTTTCTATTTTGGAGGTTTCTCCCTCATCCGTGAGGGAAGGTTGAAGGAGAGTTATCCTCCTAGACTCTTCCTCTCTCACATAGGTATCTCATACAAATCCCTTCAGTGGGTGTTAACAACTCCTCCGTCCTTCTCATACATTCCCCTCTGCCCATCGCCCATGCTACCACTTGACCAATGATCTCTTGGCAGTGTGGGTGTGGCTAGACTGGCCCTCTTGAAACTATTATCCAGAATTTTGTTTACAAAATCCTTTTTTTCTTTTTTTTTTTCTTCAACCAAAACATTTACAAATCCCAGATTGCCAAATAATTCTTATCACATCTTTCTTTCGGGGACACCCAAAATTCACTTAGTTGGGCCTCTCTACCGACTCATTAATCACTGTCAAAACCAGACACCTGGTTCCTTCAGCTAAGTCAACTTTTAGCTGGGAGGTCTGTATTTTACCTGAGAATCAAATTCTTTATTTTTCTCATGCCTTAAAATCCTCTTATCACCAAATGCCCATTTTCAACGACACTGCGTCTGATGTCAACAGTTTGAATAAGCAATAATAATATGATTTTTTTCCTCATGCCAGGATTCTAACACACACCAGAGGGCTCCCTTCGTTGAACCCAGGAATTAAAATTAAATGATATCACTGAAAGATAATTAATATCTATTCTCCGTGGTGATCTCAAGCCAAATTTTTTTTATGGCCGAATTCTGTTTCCCTTGGTGCGTCACTCCCTTAACGTGACATTAAAGTTTTGACAGAATCTCATATCTCACTTTTTCTTATGGATTTTCTGTCTCGTGCGAAAAGTATCTTTCTTCATAAATAAAAATAAAATCATCTTTTTTTTTTAACGTCAATCAGTCTATCTTTTGATATAGCTCTTTCTCGCCTTAAGTCTTTCCTGTTTTTAATTTCTATGGTTAATTAGTTAGCCAATTACCATAGCTAAATAGTGTCACAAATTTCTCAAGTAATAAAATTTTTAATTTATGCTTAATTTAAAGGTTTAATAATTCTTAATATAAACAGCATCTGAGATGTAACAATGTAATAAATTTGTAATGTCTTTGGTAGCATTTTTTTTTAAATTATTAATATCTATGTATATAGTTCACATCAGAATAGTAGACACATTCTTCCCAAATATATCTTGTAATACTAATAGTAAGTTTAGCAGCAAACTTAAGTTATTCACTTTACAATGTTATTATATATATATATATATATATATATGACAGACAGAAGTGAAAACATTGAGCTTTATTTTTCTCATGTCTTTATACTACACTACATGTAATGATGCACATAGCATTTTTCTTAAAATTTCCTAGTAATTTGATGATCTGTGAATCTTTATCAATAAATTTTTATTCACATAACAGGATTTGTTTCTATTCTTTTTTGGAGGTGTGGGGGGGCTAACTTTTTACTATATATTATTATTTTGCTTGTTTGTATGTAGGACTATTACTCATTTCTGCCTAAGATCATCGTAGAAAATGTTCAATCCTTGGCCTTCGTGAGCTGGAATCAGTTACACTTTCTCACTAAGAAACCTACATAATATTAAGTGGAAAGAAATTGGGGAAGAAAATGGCTGTGAATGATGCTAAAAAGTTAGAGAAAAATGAAAATAGAGTGAAAAAATTTATTTATTTATGTGCGTATGTGTGTGTGTATATCAAAAATACTTTTACAAATTTTGGGGACAGGTTCCTCACACCAAAACAAGGACAAAAGTTCATATGAACATATGTCCACAAATCCTTTGTTTTTGACTTATTAACTTTAAAGAAAGTTTACAGTAGATGACACTGTGTTTCCATGTAGACTAGGTTACATTTGTCATTCGTGTACATTTGTGGCTAGTCTGTCTTCAATGTTTAACGTGTAATAGTGAAGTGAGAAGAGTTCCATTTAACAATGGTAAGATATTCTTTTTGTGAGCAGGCAGATATGATTTTTACATACAGCCAAGCAAATGGTAATGGACATGAGGCTGCACGGCTGCATCAGATTGAGTTTCCAGACTGAAGGCAGCTGAGTCATCCAATATTTGCTGCTGTTTATCATCAGGTTGCTGAGATAGGATACATGACACCACAAACTATGGATTGAAGAATACCGAGATCTGCTCATATACCTGACCATGAAGAAGACATTCTACAAGTTGCCGGATCCGGGTATGAGCACATGTCAAGTGGCCCTAGCATGTTGTACATCTCATAGTACTGCATGGAGGTTTCTTCAAGAGTATCTCCTGTATCCGTATCATTTGCAATGCCTTCTGATCACTCAACACAGGAGATCTTTTGCCAATGATTTATTGCACAAACTGCCAATCTGTTGTTTGCCTCTTCAGTTTTTTTTACGGATGAGGCAACATTTGGAAGAGATAGAATAACAAACTTACAAAATCAACATTTGCGGGTGGATCGAAATCCCCATGGTACAATACAGGCTAGACACCAGCATCAATTTATGATCAATGTGTGGGCCGGAATTGTAGATGACTGTCTGATAGGTCCATATGTTCTAGCATGTCTTACAAGGAGACTTTATTTCGAACACTTCCAGACGTTCTAAAGGATATAACCCTGCTAATACAAAGATGCATGTGGCTTATGCATGATGGGACACCAGCACATTTTAGTCATATTGTTTGTGATGCACTGGTTGACATCTGCCATGAAAGATGGATGGGTAGGGGAGGACCAATTCTGTGGCCTGCACATTCCCCTGACCTTTGGATTTTTATCTGAGGGACCACCTAAACCAACTGGTTTATGTAGCAGTCATTAATAATGCAGAGACACTTCATCAATGTGCCATGGGGGCCTGCAAAGCCATTCAACATCATGTAGGTGTATTTGAAAGGGCCTGCCAGTCACTGATCCGACAGCTGTATGCGTGTGTAGAAGCAAGTGGACAACATTATGAACATTGTTATGCATTAAAATTTTTTTATAGAGATATAGAGCAAAAAAAGGTAAGAGAAAGGATACAAAAGAAAATATTTGTGCATTCATTATTCACACATGAAACATATTCATCTACTGTTTAGATAAAAAAACAAAAAAAACATGGATCAGCAACAAAGATTGAAAGGGATAAGGAAGAGAATGAAAATATACAGACAGAGGGTAAGAAAATAGCAAAGTATAATAATAGATAATCTTAGTTGTCAACACCAGTAGAATCTCAAACAAGGGAGAAATAAACATACAAACTATTTGTCTACATTTGAATATGTTTATCTATAATATAGTTAAAATGAATTCCTTTCATATCAAATTCCAACAAATTGGTTCACTGTTTTTTAAATTTCAGTATTAGATTTAAAAAGGAAAAAAACGAAGAAAGTCTTAAACAGAAGTAACTAGTGATATTTAAAAATATAGTTCTGACTTTATTCCTTATATAATATTGAACTACATTTATCATGTGAAAACAAAACAAAAACTTGAGATGTGCATTTACTCTATATCGTGCTGTGAATATTTTTTCTCCAAAACTGTGCTTTAAAAGTATTATGGATTAAATCATGAAAATAATGGTTTCATGTAGGCTTACAGTTTGAAGAGATCAGAGCCTGTACATCTCTTTTTACTAGAACAATCCATAAATAACCCAAGAATGAAACATGTCATATGATGGAAAAATGCAACATATACTCAATTATGGAAATAAAAAAAAATTACATGCTTTAATATAGTAATAAAAAAAACTTATATTCACTAAGATATTCATATTATGATACATGTAATAGTTCTGTTCTTTAAGTAACATGTGTCTTAATTCCTGAGCACTGGTCATTTCTTTCCTCTTCTATTCCACCAGACATTCTTTATTTTCCATGCACAACATATAAATTGATTACTGAAATTTTGTTAAAAATTGCAAAAATTTAATCATGAAATGTTTTACTTAACAGAAATATTTAGTATGTATATTTTATTCTTTTAAGTAATTGCTTAAAAATATCAAACTAGTAGCAGAAAAGTCATTGGGCAGTTATAAGAAAGTCTAGACTTTGACTTCACTCACCAGTTAAAATGCAATCAAGATTAGAATGCTACCATGATGGCTTTCCTTCTACCACAAAAATTACTTTCCTCAATCCTATTTACTGATATATCTTGAGTTACAAAAAAAAAAAAATAGCTAGTTTTAAAATAAAGAAGATTTGATTATAATCAAAGGGAATTACAATAATGTGAATTATTCAAATTGCTTGATTTTATTGCTGTTTCAGGTTCCATAGACAATACTCAAGACTTGTGGCTGTTTGGTGCCCGTTTCACTGCTGCAGACATCAGTCTGATTGTGCTGCTGAATCGTTTGGTCATGTTAGGCCTTGACAGCCGATACTTCTCTGCTGAGCGGCGACCATACCTGATGAAATACCATGAGCAACAATTGAAAAGACCTTCAGTTGAACAACTCATGAAGGAGATCCGCAGCATCATGAAGGGAATGTATTGGCAGTCAGTCCTACCAAGTTCCACAATTGGGCGATGGGCAACGATAGGCTTGGGTATTGGCTTAGGCTATTTAATCTACAGAAAAATTAACTAATCAAAGACACTGATTAATTAGGACGACCTCATGATTTGTTTGTTTTTTTTTAAATCTTCTGTTGTAGTTTTGTGTTTATCATTGATAAGTGTTGGTTTGGTTAGCACATAATGGCCTGTATTTTATCATGACATATTGACTGGTGTGATCTACACACCTGTGCAAAACCTACAGATGTACATACCTGTACAATTATATATATATATATATATATATATATATATAAAAATCTTCTTGTATGTGTATCTGTATAGATTGCACAGATAAAAATGTTAAAGTTGATACCCCACTTTCTTTTTTAACCAAAAGCACTGATAAGGATATCAGTTCAACCATGTTATTCATGATTTTTGCTAGCTTGGATCAAATGACTGATTAAATTGGGCTTTTGTGTTCTTACAGATTATCCAATCACTGGTCACTACATTTGTGAACTTTTAAATTCTAACTGGCATGAAATCTTGTGATATTCTTCTTGCCTCTATCAATGTTATTCAGATAATTGCAAGAAGCATATTTTTTTTTATTTTAGACTGTTAACTCTGCTGGTTCCATTTTTATGGCTTCAGCAAGCATTTCATATGATGTTCATTGTGAGCATGCACTGAATTCAATGCATTAACAATTGTGTGAGAAAATGTATCATCACACACAAATATGCAAAAATATAGTGGTTTTAAGGATTATTTTTTTTAATGTATTAACTGATCTATTAGAATACAATTTATTCATCAATGGGCTTTTTAATTCAAAACCTCAGTTAATATTTAAAAATATAATCCTACCTCATCTTGTAAAATATATACAAGAATCCCAGCATTCATGTGTGCACATGTTTGTGTGTAAATACTATCCATCAGATAATTGTTAAATATAAAGGACAAAAGTAACTTGTAACAAAAATAATTCTTACTTATACTTGGTTAGCATGCAAGTAGTATAGTTGATTTCTGTTTTATTTTTTTTTTATTTTAATGTTTACATTCATCATTGTCACATAATGCTCTGATGATATGACTTCAACATTGAAATAAAAATTCAAATCAGCCACACTTCTTGATAGTTATAACCTATAAGTATATTTTTTATCCTATATGCCAACATATCTATTTGAATGTGTTCTGTTCATACACATTTACATTGCATATGTCGAGGATTAGACAAGTCAAAATGTCAGGGTAAAATCAAAGTAAAAAATAACACTAAACAGATCAACAGTGAAACAAATTCTCTGCATCGAATGAGCGCTAAAATGAAACCCGACAGGAATGAGGTATCGTCAACAAAAAGGTAATTCTTAATTTGGTACACAAGAAATAAAACTAGTCCAAAATATGAAAATTTTAGGGGGGGGAAAAAAAAAAAAAAAAAAAAAGATAATAATAATTAGGGTATATTTTGGATAAGCTCCAAATGTGCATTCCTGGTCACATCAGTCAAGAGAACTTCCTGTCCAAAAGTTATTTAATGAAGACTTTATGAACATCTGACACTGATTATTAGACAAACAATTAACAAATACTTAACATAAATGAATAGTTATCAAACCAATTGATAACTGACCTAAAGAAAAGTCAGTTTTTGAATAAATTTGATTCTTACTGGGTAAGCCGGTATTGTGACTAAGTAAATATATACAATAAATTGTATGACATTCACAAAACAAACAGGTAGGTGCTCCATTTATGTATGTACAGATTCTTACACATTATTCTCATCTTAATATTTCATTAAAAAGATTTCTTTTTATATTTTCAGTGTGTGTGTGTGTGTGTGCACGTGCATTATGTGCTTAATCAGTGTATGGTGTAGTTTTACATTCCCCATCGGTGATAGTGGTTAGTGTTTAAACACACTGAGAAGACAGGTGTGACACAAACTTTATGCCAGACTAAAGTAGATTTCATAAAAGATTCTATATATGTAACTGCGTGCACACACATATACCTAATGGTTGTATTTGCTTGGTGAGATGCCAGGTAGTCTAACAAATACATGAAATTTCAGCTTGTGCTGATTCATACTAACGCCTTCTATGAAGGCATGAACTGTCAAAACCTTCCCATTTATTTATCTTGTTATTTTAAAGAGAACTGACTGACTGACCATACAAGTTATCCTGGCTATATTCTAATTGAAAGCTAAGCATCTGTCCCCAAAAGAAGATTGTGATCTTGTTCAGAAATTAACAAGATTACATGTATATTGGTTCTGTAACATAGGTGTATTTTTAAATAATGTATTATTTAGTTTTAATCTTTATCATTATCCTAGCTTTTAATATTTTTTTTCCTGTTGAAGAATTTTTGTTAGAAACAGATTGATCACAAACAATAAAAATGCCTAACCTAAAATTTATTAAATTCATTGGAAACTGAGAATGCCTCTTGGAAAAGGAAAAAAATAAGTTTGTACTTGTGTTTTTGCAGATGTATCTACGTAGCAATTTGTAAATTGATCCACTTTTAGACATTTTCACAGGGAATCTCTTGGAGTACATTATTTTGCAAATTTATTGATTTTGAGGCCAAATTTTTTTACTTATAGATACATTTAGAAAAAATATAGACTTAGTAGCATCAACAATTATAATAGCAGTAGTAATAGTACTAATAATAATAATTGCTGTACTCTTCTAGTGTTCTTACAATATTTCATCTAATTAACAATTATTTATATAAAATAGTGTTTAAGATATTGTTCCCTAACCAAAATGTCCTTTTTGTTCGCCATGTACAGTAACCATATTTATTATACTGAAATATTTTTCTTTTTTACTTAAGGATATTAACAATTTTTCTTAAGGATTAGTTAATAATCTGAAAATTCCTGTTACAAACATTTTAATTGTAGAAAAACACTAAAGATTATTTTTTGAGGATGCTTATCCCTAACCTGAGCTTATTAAAACCTTTATGTTTATAAATTTTACATAATTGAAAAGTTCAGCTTTCAAACCATAAAATGCAATTTCATCATTCACTCATACCGAGTCAATTCTAATTTAGAAACTTACCAATAGGTCATAAATCTCTCACTCCCTGATTATTAAATATCTTGAAAACCCAATCCTCCCACTCCTTCCCTAAATACACATCCACAGAAAATTTAAAAAAAAATCCCCACCTCTTCCCATCAAATGTAGAACTTTCTTTCATTAAATATATTCCTTTTTCAGTCAATGGTTTCAGTTAGTGCAGTAACTTTTTCTGACCCAATAACTACACAACCAAGATGATGTAGCATCTTATAAACACAATTTTTACCAAATAGATAAAACAAATAGCTTTCAAAAAAAAAAAAAAAAAAACTTTGAAAGTTTGACAGGCAAAAATTTCTAGGTAGAGAAATCTCTGTTTTTGTGACCAGAATGTTCAGTAAAATGTCCTTAATGTCCCGTGCAATAATATACACCCAAGGTTCTCAGGTATAAAATGTGACCAAAAAAAAGAGAATAGAATTGTATCTATTCCTGCATCCAGTACAGGTACCCAAAGTTTCTGGTATCCAAACCATGACTGCAAATTTTTTTTTTTTCTTATTTCTATAAGATTGCTTTTTCAGAAGCTGACTTCCAAATAAAGTATTAATGGAAGACACAAAATTTGTTTGTCAGTTAATGGATTTAAAGATTGTGTAAAACTCTTTCAATCACCAATTTTAAATAATTTATTTTTTGCTGATATTGTTATAATAAAAGTCTATTATGAAAATTGCTTTTCATATATTGATTGCATTGAACTCTATAACTTCCAACTTAAACTCTTTCACCATTACTTTTAAAATTTGTCACCTTGTTTGATTCCTCAAGCAATTTGATTAACCAAAATTATTTCTTAAATATGCTTGTCTTGTATTGATAAGCTTATTTGTTTTTTATTCTACAATTTTCTTCCATTTGTTGATGCTTAAAAAAAAGAATTAAAAGATAAAATGGTTTAACCATGGGCAGAAACTGTTGTAATCAAATAATAAGGATTCACTATATTAATAATTAGTCCAGTTGTATTTTATTTGTTGTCAAATTAAAGTAAATTCTTACTCTTTGGTGCCTAAAAGAAAAGGGTGGACATTTATTTTTGAGGAAGTTTTTTTTTTTTTTTTACTTACTCCACCACCAGCACCTAGCTTATTAAGGTCACCCAATTTATAAATTTCACACTTTCCCCTGGAGCTGAAATAGAAAACAGCAATTATTATAGTTGTTTCAAGTTTTTATTTACATGCACTTATGATTGAAATGTTTAAAGAATAGTTTTCCAGTTTTATTTTTTTCCAAAATTATCATGTTCCATTGTTAGATAATGTTTTGTTTGAGTTACCTTATTTAAACTCTAAATTTTTAATTCTTTAAATTATTTTCCAAACCATATAGAGAAAATTTCCGAAAATTATGAAGATCCCACCTCCCTCCTTGTATTAGGCAGCTAAGAATCTATTGTCAGAAATTCACTAGTCTACCTCTACAAATGATTTTTGTTTTTTTTATAACTGAACTGATATTTTAAATACAAAAATGAAAATTTTCCCAGATTATTATTTTAAACCAGACAAATATATGAATACATCTAAGAAATAAGTCATGTGGCCAAAATGTATATTTAAAACAAAAACCAGAAAGCTAATGCTTGAGCCCAAGTAAAAACCAGGATTCTTTTTAATGCTGATTTTCAAGGCAGGCAGGCCCTTCCTACGTGAAAGATTGGCAAAACATAATCTTCTTTTAATCTCATTTTTCTACAGATTTAGTATATGTTAAACTTAATAGGTAATAAGAAATATCTATCACTTAATAAATTTATTGGATTTGCTTTATCAAAGCGATGATATCATTTAATTTTTACTGGATTGTTGTAAAAGGTTAAATGAACTAAGAATTTGTTTCACATGTTATAATGTG